GTCTGACCGAACCCCTAGGGACCTAGTTTGTTAGTCACAGCTTGGAAACAGTTGAGAGCCCCACCCTATAACGGTATATACAATTGCTGAGTATAAAGAGATGATTGCACATATGCTTCCAGGATGGCCTTGGGGACTGCCCCACCCTTGGAGACTTAACCCCTGGGTCAAAACTTCGAAATGGTTTCGATCCCCACCCCAAAACTATATATACAAATGCTGGGCAAAAAGAGACAAATGCAGTCACGATATTAGAATTGATCCTGGGGTCTGGCCACAACCCTAGGGACCTAGTTTCTGAGTCAAAGCTTGGAAACAGTTGAGATCCCCACCCCATAACCATACATAAAATTGCTGGGCATGAAGAATCTAATACATGTACAGATATGCTACAAGGATTGGCCTTGGGGTCTGGCATATTCCCTTGATCTCATTCGGAGAATATTTTGCCATGATTGCTTTGGTATCCAGGTGAGCGATACAGGCCCTCTGGGCCTCTTGTTCTTGATACCATATGAAGCTCATCTTACATATGGTCAAGATACAATGTATGATAAAATGTACAATATTTACAGCTTTAAGAAATATACATGTATAAAATACAGGATAAGGGAGGAAATCATAAATCATTTCAAGTAAAATCGCTTTGCAGATCTCTTAAATTCTAAAAGTGAAGTACAGTTTCTATTACAACTTGGTAAGGTGTGGAAAAATCACATTTTAAAACAATTCTGGCTGCTCTCTTTTGCAGGCGTTCTAATTTTACAATAATATTTTTTGAACTGTTACCCTGAACAGTTGAGCAATAATCCAGATGTGGGTTAACAAAGCAATTAAAAAAAGTCATACAAGATGACTGGCTCATGAAGGGTCTCAACGTTTTCATCTGAAATTTTTTACATGATATCTTTTTACAGACATTTATAAGTTGAATGTTCCAAGAGAGACAAGCATTTGATGGACACTCCCAAAAGTTTTTCACATTTTACATTTTCAATGTTTACATTGTTGATAACAACGGACAATTCTTCTGTTAATTTACATTTTTTCTGTGAAGTAGTAACAAGCATGACTTGTTTTTTCTGTGTTTACACACATTTTGTTTTCATCGCACCATTTTGACACTAATTTAGCATCAGCTTTGAGGTTGTTATTTACAATGCCTAGTGATTTTCCTTGCGATTGTGCTGCAGTGTCATCAGCATACATACACAAAGAACTTTGATTTGTAATCAGGGGCAGGTCATTCGCATATAAAATGAACAAAAGGGGCCCCAATATTGGCCCTTGCGGGACACTGACTGTAAGAGGGAGAGAATCACTCAAAGTGTTCTTAAAAGTTTAAAATGTGAAATCTCGCTCAAATAACTTTGAAAAAATATCATTGTTTTGGATGAACACCCAAACAATTCCAATCTTAACTATTATACTGAGTATATGATACTTGTGAGAGTGATTCACAGGGAATCTGGGATATACTTTATGGCAAACTATCGACTTAAGTTTTGAGATTCAAAACGGCCATTATGCCCTCTGACTGACTGATCATGAGGCAATTGAAGTTAAAAGTCAAGTCCTTTTAGGCAGATGTTGTTGATACTTCACAGGAATGTGAGAGTAATACATTTAGAGAGTATACTTCACGGGAATGTGAGAGTAATACATTTAGAGAGTATACTTCACGGGAATGTGAGAGTAATACATTTAGAGAGTATACTTCACGGGAATGTGAGAGTAATACATTTAGAGAGTATACTTCACGGGAATGTGAGAGTAATACATTTAGAGAGTATACTTCACGG